ATCCTTAATTAATGCCGATTAAAATAAGTTTAACCTTCAACCTCACTGAACTACTACTCACTACCCTCACCCAGAAACACACCATCAAGACTTCAGCAGTTTCACTATTGCGCCCCGATCAATGCTACTTAATTTCAGGTTAGAAAAGTAACAATTTTTTGTGAGACTATATAGAAGTTACAGAAACAACCAGCTATATTCAAGTGTTGGGTTCAAATATGAGATTCTTTCGTAGAGACATCTTTACCATTGTGAAAGATACCGGGTCGACTGGTTAATCTTTCCTCAATAAGTCACGATGCACGTATATGTTTTAATTATCATCGTTAAAAGATGTAACAAACAACATGAAAAATGAATAAGCATTAGAAATTTAAGAATACGTTTAGAATAAGAAATACTTGTAAATGAAGTAAAGCAGAAATAAAGTCAAACAAATGAAGGGAGGTAGACGCGTGCGTCTATGTCATATAGCAGATTATTCCTTATGAAAGTCGGAACTAATCAAATTAATTCTTACTGTTTAATACCAGGCTATATTGATGATGATGATGATGAACTATTGCAAGACGTGACCGGGCCCGTTACCTGTTTTCACGATAAAGTAACGAGAAAACAAAGTTAGAGAGAGTTATGAAGTGTTTAATACTGTTTTCTTCGACTTATACTACACCACAAGTACATGTGCAGATGCTCATTGATATGCTCTATCCAATAGTGAAAAGCGTTTTTCAGAAAGTTGGGAGGCTATTCAGAAAAACATTTTTCATTACGTAGATATCACATCGGTATCCATCGACCAAACGCTTTAGTTTTCTCAACAACCGCACAGCAGCAAACTCTAGAAACTGTCCAGGCATATACGCTTTCTAATTCTCAACTTCACCCTTTCAGACCAAATCAAAACGCAAAGATTTATGGAACTGGCGATATCCTCTGACATTAAAATTGATTTTTTCGATCCTATTCGTACGACTTCTAGCGTGCTAATCACTGCTGACCGGTATCAGTTCGGCCGGACCGGTTCAGGCAGTAAATCGGACCGGTAGAGTCCGGTATTCTACCGATTGAAACTTTTGAAAAATCTCCTCTTTTGACCATAAAACAAAGATTTCACGTCTGCTTTAGTCAGAATAAATGAAAAAAATCTAAACGGATAGTATTTTCATAACTAGCTTTAAGGTTCGCCTTAATAGTGTCATTGTGTTAAGTGTCTCTTGCAGGTGCGGCCAAACTATTTATTTCTGGGAAAAAATCTTCTAAAATTTGATTTTCAAAAAATTTCGCTGATTTTCCACGGGTTTGAGTTGTAATTCCAACGAGCCGGTTTACTGGAGCTGACTGCAACGATCTTGTACTGAACCAGTATTGTACAGTACTAGTTCATTAAATTCGTTGGAAAAGAACTGAAGTAGTACTGTCAACTATGTTGTACTGAACCATTATCGTGTTCAGTACTGGCTCAGTAGTCTCGCTAGTGAAAAATAGAGGCAGTACTGAATCAATATTTGCGAAAACTCCAGTATTCCAGTACTGAAAGATCAGTACGTGGACTATTGGATGCGGCCCCCAGTTCTCTATTCGCCGGGCTCTTGTACGAAAATTAAAGTTAACGACGCTATGTGAAAATCGATTTCTTATGTCTCTCTACAGTAAAACTAAAAGTGTCTGTTAACGTAAAGGAATGTAAAAAAGAGTGGCAAGAATGGATCACAGGCCAAAAGTCGAGCCAGTGGTTAGAAAGTCACTTAGCATTGCTAGCTAACAATATCTGACCAAACACGAAAAATCTAGGAACGAATAGAACGGTAGCCTTTCCACTGGATACAGGGGGCCAGCTTATAGGTTTGTTGCCTTTGTGAGCTTCATGCCTGCAAGCCGAACTGAGTTTGAAAGCTGAATCTTTCAGAAAGTTTGAGGAGCGTTAAGCAGTGGTTGCAATGAAAAAATCATCAAAATCGGTTCAGAGCATCTGGTTTTATTCGAATTTTACGCTTTGAATTTCAAAAGTGCAACGGGCATGCAACTCATATCTCAAGCATAACACTTTCGAGTTATAACGATGGAATAGCAACTTGAAAATTCGCTCTAAGATCTTGAAATCTGCAATCATCGATCGTAAATTTTGATGTTTTGACCAACTGAATTTTCTCTTCATTTTTGCTACCTTTCTTTTAAAGTTTCAAATTTTTTTGCGATTGATTTTCGATTAATTTATTTTGCCATAATTTCTATTGTGAACAGATTGTTGTGTCAATCTGTATTGATATTCTGATTTATTTACGTGTGTTCTGCATTTCTTTTCTCGCTATTAATCAATGATATTATAAAAGACTATGCATACTTCCGTTCATCCAATGAACACGCGGTATGCTTCTGGCACATATTCTCACTGCTTCATTTCACACATCTTGAACAT